ATAAATATAAATATAAATATAAATATAAATATAAGCGTAAGTAGGCCATTCCATAGATCAAACCGCACACTTCCATTTCTTCATATTTTGAACTTTTTTATAATTCTGCTGATTAGTAAAGTCTAGGCTAGTGTACAGAATACGAAGAAAAACACCCGGAAAGATGAATTCTTTGGCAAATTACAGCCTCCCAAAGTTGCAAAGATTGCCAGTTTGCCGCGTGACAAACCTAGCTTTGCAGACATGTAATTTAGAATGTCCTTAACAGAATTGGATAGTTTTTTATATTTGGACTTCTAATGTTCTAAATTTTGAATACATGTTTAAATGCATTCAAATTTTTCAGTTTTGATAAAAAACCGCATAGATATAGTGAAAGCAATATTTCAAACAAACATAGAAAAAAAAGTGTCTTTAAACTTTTTTTTTTGAAAAAAAAAACGATTTTTTTATAGGATTTTTTGCTTTACAACATACGAAGTTTTGATAACGACAATTCCTCGATATCGAAAGTTATGAGCCAAAAAGGAATGTGAAACTAAAAAACGCCTGCTGTTTTTACAGTAATCCCTTGTATTTTACATGACGAGACCGTCTAGAGCCGCCTCTGAAAGCCGCAGACAGCTGCTACAAAAATCCGGTATTCTTTGAGCATTAAAAACTTGTTACAAAAATTGTATTTTACTCCAAAATATTTACAAATTATTACCCTGCAGAGCTTTAAAAAGCAGTTTCTATTCTTGTGTTTTCTGTTTCTTGCATTTTGTAGTTTTTAGACTCTTAAAATTATATCCATAGTGTAACTATTAAAGCTTCAGTCGCACAAGCTCAACTTGTTGTTTTTTTTCGAGCTTACGTGTTATGGTTCTCCAGAAGCATAGAGTGAGCCTTAATCTAGCAGCTAACCAGGTGAAGCAGTAGGTTTTTAGACTTCTCGACTTTAAAATGTATATTAGTCTATAGTTATAACAGAATAAAGTAGAAGCAGAAGGCACTGGAATAAAGGCCAGTTCTTCTACGCAGAATAATACACGTAGAAAACGCTGAAGTAAAGGCTACCTCTTACAACTCTGCAGAGTAATATTTTGTAAATATTGTCAAAGTAAACTACAACTTCTGTAGCAAATTTTCAACATTTAAAGCATGCCGGATATTACTAGTCACCCTATTCGACCTTCAGAAGAAACTCCGGAAAATTTCGCCACTGTAAAACTTATGAAATTATTGTGAAAATGGTGGATTCATTTCGGTCTTACGTTCAGTTCCAGCTCGTAGCTCTCGATACCAAAAAAGCGCTATCTCAAAATCTTAATGTGTTGTAGAGCAATAAATTCTGCACAAAATGTGCCTCTTTTGAAAAATATAAAAGGTTTTTTCGTGTTACTGTTATATATCTATCTTTTTACTCTTGTCTAACTTACCCTTGTAGCTAGTCTTATAGAGAATGACAGCGAAATCCTCAAAGGCTGTTTGAAACTGATCTCTTAAAAAACTTGAGGTTTTAACCGTCTCTGCAGTTAGTATGGACCGGCTTCCCTGAAGATAATTCGCAGCGAAAAAGGAGACGTTACGTGCAGCATGCATTTTGTTTGTTTTAATTACTCTTAATTTTAAAAGAAAATACAATTAATCGTTTCATAAAAACTCTAGCCCTAATACCGACGTCAGAAATTTTTCTTGTGATCTTGAAAGGATTATAGCGGAGGAACATACTACATCCCTCGCTGTAGTTGCTGTTTATTCTTAACGACGCACTCGAACAGTGCCCAACTAAGGTGTACTAGCGACAGTTGGGTACGGAACGTTTTCTTCTCTGTTATTTCTGGTTATCCAGGTGATGATTTGAAGCGAAAAAGTTTCTACTTCTTCTCAATGAAGGGAAATTTGGCGGTTAAATAAGTTAACTGTTACAAGATTTCTCGTTCCATTGCATGGTTTTCGAAGTAGAATGATTTCACCATTACCCATAGAATTAAAAGTTTTGAGTCGCCAGTTTTGAAAAACAAAGTGGAAAGGTGAAAGTGGTTCCAGTTTTCTAAAATACAAAGAAATCTTTTTATCTAACTGTTAGTGTGACTCCTACTTGCCACTCTCTGACCTTTATCAAAACGTTCTCTGGGTTTTTATAAAGCAATAAATGTCTTCTTCTAAGACAAGTATTTTTTTTATAATTTTCAGTATTTACACAACATCCTCTATTTAAACTCATTATTTGTTTGTTTCACTTTTGATCATTTTATCCTCACGATTCTCGATAAGTGTGGTGTTAAAGAAAACTATTTGCCAGAGAATCTAGCCAGCTTCCTTGTCAGTCGCTAGAGTCCTTACTTGCACAGTTCTTTTGACTCAAGCATATGAGCACATACTGTATTTTTTTATAGTCTGTGCAAAAACAAATTTGCTTTGCTGCACTTTTACCCTAAACTTACATACAGTGTGAATTAACGGAACTTCTAAATAACTGTTCTTGGCGCTGCAGCCGATAAATGACGCTGTTTCACCTCTTCCGCATCAAATGTCATCCTTTAACAAAGTTAAGCAAATTTAGCAGTAGTAGAAGATAAAGACTCGTTCAATTTTAGCGGAATTGCGAAGATGTATCAAAAAAACTGCAGAAGCGGTTGCGTTCCGTCCACTTCACAACTCTTCACTCCTTTATGGTTTATCAGATACAGTCTACCTTCCTGGGGAGGCCCTTAACAACATGTCTCTTGAAAGCACGATATTGCCCACTTCTTCAGTGTCAAAGTTTCATAAGCTCCGCTTTTTATCGGGCAGTAAAATGGTGCAAACTGTCCTTTTACAGCTCATAATTGCTTTTGTTGGATCTCCAGTCAATCTACCGAAAAAAACAAATTACTTCTCCTCTAAATTATTCTGAGACCTTACTGTAAAAGATTTAATTTAATCAACCATAATGTTCCGTATTAACTATATCAAAGTTAACTGTAAAAAGTAGACTCTACTTGCAGAAGAATAAGAAGCATACTACTTTTTTTGCTATGTTGAAGCACTTTTTTCGAAATGACTATCTAACTTTGTTCTGTTAGTGTTCGATTTATCAAGGGCTTTCAGGTTTCTTATGCCCTGAATCACATTAATTGGCTGATGCTGGGTGACTTTTCATTATTACCGATTAATGAATAATACCGCTGCAGAAATGAAAGCAGCCTACTGCAAACTTAAGTGGCTGCACATTCTCCAGTAGTCATTTCCGCTCTTTGACAACTATGTTTCGCTAAACACACTTGATCGCGGTATAGTTTAACGAGTACCACGGTAAAAGCGAACTGTATTAGTTAAAACAGACCTAAAAACCAGTGTTCGACCGCCGTAAACGAGCAAACTAAGATTCAAGCTCAGTTAAGCTCCACAACATCTCGTCGATCAACTCACACAGACACAGAAAGCAGCCTCTTATGTAAAATACGAAAAGATTTACAAGCAAAATAAAGCTAAATATTGCGTTCAAATGCACAAAGAAGTATAAAATTCGGAAAATTTTTTTTGCAAAATAGAGCAAAAAAAGACGCTCAATCGCCAATTTGTTGCAGGGAAGCAGCAAAATCAAAGTCGTTCACGACCTCAGACAAAGAAAGTGCAAACACGAAAACAAAATGTACTCATACAGAACACCAACAGAACAACCAAAACCAAACAAAAAATACGGCACAGCGAAACGTCAAACACAACACCAACTACAAACTGCCGCTAAAATCAATAATACCAGCAGTCTCCAACGCGATACATAACATTCACAGACTAGCAACAACTCACCCCTTGGTCGCACTAACAGGTGCAGCAATCACTGCAATAGCAATAACAGCTGCCGTCGTGGTTTCCCAACAAACAATACCTACAGCAACCTCAAATACAACAACAGAAAACACAATACCACATACCGAAACCACCGACGCACAAACTACCGAACAGCAACAAACAAGATCATCAACCCAACATCCAGAAAGTCCAGATTACCACTCAAACACAGTTGCAGGATCAAGTGGAACAAGTAGCGAGCCTATTTCAACGACATCCGAGGACGAAAAAACAGTAGAAACAAGCGAACATTCACAAACTCCAAACTCCAACTCAAACACAGTTGCAGGATCAAGTGGAACAAGTAGCGAGCGTATTTCAACGACATCCGAGGACGGAGAAACAGTTCAAACAACCGAACATTCACCAACTCCAAACCCCAACTCAAACACAGATGGACCATGGAGTGCAATAAACAGCCAACCGTCCACAGTAACACAAAAAAATGCGAAAACGGAAACTGCAGATCGGCAAACACAATACTCACACTCCAGCGCAGACCTTGGTGAAACCTCGACTGCAGAAACCACTTCCACAATAACATCCAAACACTCAGAAACACAAACCGAGAACGAGCAAACACAGTGTATTACCCTAGACACAAGCCCAGGGCATACATCGAGCGCGAAAAACGCTGAAACCTCCTCAAAAAAACTAACATCTGCTCAAACGGAAGCTTTAACCGAAGAACCACAGACTAAGCATTCCCACTTAACCACAGTTGCACCGACAACTACAAGAAACAGTGAGCCTTCTCCAATATCATCCGAACAGGCAGAAACAGCAGCCCCAACTGAACATCCACAAAGCTCAGAATCGCAGTCA